CCCCCCCCCCAGCACCAGAGGGGAAGGGGAAACCCACCCCCTTGAGTGACGCGTCTTCTCTCTTTCTGTCGCTTACTCCAGGGGAGGCCTCGTCTCTGCGGGACTACGCCGCCACCACCATGAACGAGTTCCTGGGCATGTTTGGCTACGATGACCAGAACATGCGGGACGAGCTGGCTCGCAAGATCAGCTTTGAGAAGCTAAACGCCGCTACCTCAGAGGCCACCGCCGCTGCTGTCGTGGCCACCTCCCTATCTGGCGAGGATGCCATGAGCAAGCGAGCCCGCCTCTCCAAGTACGAAGAGTACATCCGCAAGCTGAAGGCCGGTGAGCAAGTCCCATGGCCGATTCATCCAGCTAAGACCGAGGAGATGACCAGCAAGCTTGGCAAGGAGGCCCCGACCACCCTGGGGCAAGTGATCCGGCTGCCCGCTCCCGACACCTCCCTCCTGCCGGAGACGAAAGCCACCATTTTGCCTCTGCCTTCCCCCAGCAGTTCCCAGATCCAAGGGCTGATGTCTCGGGCCTCCAAGTACGACTTCTTCATCCAGAAGCTGAAGACGGGCGAGAGCCTCCGGCCGCAGAACGGCAACACCTACAAGAAGGCCTCTAAGTACGACCTGGAGAACGTCAAGTACCTGCACCTCTTCAAGCCAGGGGAAGGGAGCCCGGACATGGGAGGGGCCATCGCCTTCAAGACCGGCAAAGTGGGGCGCCCCTCCAAGTACGACGTCAGGAACATCCAGAAGCTGACCCCGGTCAAAGCGCCGGCACCCAGCTTGGGCCCCGCCCCTCTCGCCAGCACCCCCAGCACCGCTCCAGTGGCTGGACCCGAGCAGCCAGTGTCTTTGCCCTTCAACACTCCAGAGTACCTGAAATCCACGTTTTCCAAGACGGACTCCATCACAACTGGAACGGTTTCCACTGTTAAGTAAGTCTTCCCCCTCCCACCCCACCTCACGTTCATCTCACCTCCACCTCAAATGGCAGGACAGGAAAATCCAGCAGCTCATTCCAGAAGGCCTCTCTCTGTTTGCCTTCTGGATTAGCGTGCAAAGGGATGGCTGAAGCCAGCTGCCAAGCGGTGAGCAAGACTACCGAGAGCCCTGATGGGTTTTTGGATTTCTGGGGTTCTCTCTCTCTCTCCATATCAGCCCCAGAAATCCAAGGCAATTGCATTTGCAGGGCCCAGGTCTTTGCAAGACAAAAGCTGAAACCAGCTCTTGTAGTCTTGAGTCTTCTTAGGCATAACAACAAGAACAACAACAAAAATCTCACATAAGATGACTTGGAGCTTTTAACACTGATCAAAAAAGGTCAAGAGAGGACCAACTTGAGAAGTCCAGCAGCCGCAATGAGGCAACCAGTTTCATGATGGCAGCCAAAATGTTGCAAGGGGGTGCTGGGGTGAGGGGAGGCCAAGTATTGGTGACATAAAACTGAAAGGCAGGCCTGACATAGAGGAGCCAGATTGGGGTACAGGGCAGGAGACAGGTAGGGTGTTTAGCCACATTGTTGAAAGCAAGCTTGGGATTCACTCAAGGAAAGTGGATCCAATCCTGCCTAATGTAAGGCATGCACTGCTCTTGGGGTAGGCTGGTGGCTGAAGGGTGGGCAATGTGATGCCCGCCAGCTGTTGCTGGGCTATGACTTGCGGGCCATTTTGTCTTGCTGGTTTTCGAGGCTGATGGGAGTTGTAGTCGAACTGCATCTGGAGGTCACCACCCTCTTACAGGAAGAAAAAACCCTGCTGGCTATCTATGAGCAGCAGAGTCTTGTCCATGAGGGAGAATGGGCCACTGCCCCCCCCACCTCAGCCTACCCTCAGCCAATCCCCACCTGCCTTCTTCCTTACTCACAACCAGTTCAGGTGGTGTCTCTGCTTGTCATTGGCTACAGTGGGTCTCCCTGCCTCCTACCCTGCCAATCCCAATATGCACCAGCCATCACTGCCTTATGAGTGGCCCCCGTTGTCAGTTCCTTATTCCCCAGGATCACTAGATTCTAGCAGAGCTAAGAAAGCTCATCCCACTTAATCTCAGTGGATCAGTCCCTTAAGGTCAATGTGAGTCAAGTGAATTTGGAGGGTAAGTTGGGTCTCGCCCAGATTTCTTGCTGTGTGCCAAATGCAGAGACCCAAACACAGGGCAGCTGCTTTGCGTGCAGAAGGTCCCAGCTTTGATGTCAGAATCTCATGTTTTCATTTTATTTATAAATGGAACCGGGAGCAGGGAGCAAAGAAGTCTCTCTGCCTGAAACCCCGGAGCACTGCCCACATTGCCAGCTGGCGTTGTCCACAAGGATGAAGCATTTTGAATGTTGCACTCCAATCTTTAGGGCTCTCTCCTAGCTTAGGACTGATATTTTACTTCTTATATCCCATCACCATGGTAGGGAAGTGTCTGCTAGGGTACGAGTAACTATTCCATTTCCGATCCCTTTCCTGCACATAGTTTATTTCTGCTTCTCTTAACGTTCTACACCGGCCCATAATTGGTGGTATGAAGTTTGGGAAGGGCCAGCCAAAGGGGCTGGAAAGAGAAGAAGAAAAATATGTGACGTTTTAAAATCAGATGGCCAGGAGGAATTCAAAAGAGAACCCACTGCTGTCACCTGCTCAGTGAAGCGGCCGGCCGGCCCCATTGCGTGGCCCTTTTGGGTTTTATCTCGCACCCTCTTTTCAGGCAGGGGATCCACTTGGTTGTGCACCAGGCCAATCAGGTGGCCACTTCACTGTGCAGCCAGCTGTGAGACACCTTGAGGTGTGTTCCTTTTTAATCATGCCAATCAGCCCAGAGTTCATCAAGGACAGCCAGGTGTGTGGCTGCCAACTTACAGCACGTTTGGCTCCCCATCCCCCTTTCCTTTTTTGCTCTTAATCACAATCCCAGCTCTGCTTCCTTCCTGCCTTTCGTCCTCTCGCACTCTCTCTTTCCCTCGTGGTTGGATGATGAACCTCAAGTGCGCTCTCTGCTCTGCCCGCAAGACTTCCTTGGGATGGGAGGCGATGCGGGTGGTGGATGGGGAGGCAAAAGAAGCCGCAATGGTTTTATGCTGAGCGTCTGACACAGTTCCCTCTGTGTGCTGTGGATTTGTGTGACTGTCCTCTTGAGAGCTTTGGGAAGCTGAGGGCATGTCACTCTGGTGCGAGAAGCAGGCAGCTCTTTCCTCTTTTTCTTTTCTACCTCACATGTAGAAGAGACTTGTGCCTTTGCCTTCTGCCCATTGGGTGGCTTACCTGAGCAAGCTCAAAGTTGGGTGGGTTGTATTGTGTAGCAGGAGCCTCACAGTTCAAAGGGGGTTACCATCTAAGTGTGGCAGAGTGGAGACATTCTGACACACGCACTACCTGTTCCCCCAGGTGTTTTCACCTGCCTCACTCACCTGCTGCACACAGTGGCTGCCAGAGTCCCAAGGCAGGCGTGGCTGCTGCCTGCATTCCACAAAATAGGAGGTCCAGGGGGCAAGAAGCAGGACTGTTCAGCCAGGGGAACAGTAACTCATGACCCCAGTTTTAAAAGGTGCTGAGGCCCTGGAGATCTGCTAGTGGAGAGTATTAGGTCTAGGTCAGGGGTTGGCAAAAAAAATTAGCCGCGGGCTGGTCCGCTGTCCCTCAGACCTTGTGGTGGGCTGGAGAAGCGGCACCGGGGGGGGGCTGGAAGAAGAGGCGAGGGAGGCATGTAGTCCTCCTCCTCACCCCCCCAGCTGTTGCGCTTACCTTCCCTGGGGCTGCTGCCGCCACCGCCACTGCTGCTGCTGCTTCTTGTGGGTAGGCAGAGCAAGCTCATCCACTCCGCTCTCTGGCCCGCAAGAGCACCAGGGCAGTGGCAGCAGCAGAGGGAAGATGAGTGGTGCGAAAGGGCTGGCTCCAGAGAGGGGCTGCTTAAAATGGCGCTCAGCCAGCTCAGCCCAGCCCTTTTCCTCCTCTAGGCAGGGCAGAAAGAAGCCAGGAGGATGGAGGGAGGGGGCGGCGGCATGGTGTGTGGGGGGGGGGGAATGGAATGGCGCAGCCCAAACAGAATCCCCATGCCGATCCACAGACAGTCCGCGGGCCGGATCCTGAAGGCAATTGGGCCTGATCCAGCCCACGGGCCTTAGTTTCCCAACCCCTGGTCTAGGTGGACAAATGCAGTCTGACCTTTTCTAAGGCTGCTTCCTCTGTTCCTAACCTCTGAGCAACAGCTTTTTAAGATGGTGCACATTCTGGCTCCCAAACCTACCATCCAGAAAACTTCAGGGGCTCACCAGTGATTTGTTCAGCAAGTGAACAAACATGCCCTGTGTTGCATTTTTAAAAATATATATAGGCGTCACACATGTTGTTTGTGAACCAGCCTTTTATACATTCATCCATTCCAGAAAAGAGAAGGCCATCTTTTTGAAAGAGGGGGCTTATGGGAAGATAAATAACGAACTGGGGCTAAAGTAAGTGCAGCCAGGGACTAGGAGATGCACAGGCATCTCTCCTTAACAGCAGCCAGGAAGTACGAGACGCACACGTGCCTCTCTCCCGGGCATGCCATTGTCCTTGGATGATAGGTGTTCCACGAGAGAGAGAGGGGGCTTGGAGTGTGTCCTGACACCACCTTGCGCTAACCATCTCTGCCCTCTGTGTGTTTCTCATTAGGAACGGATTAACCACTGACAAACCAGCTGTCACCGAAGATGTAAATATTTACCAGAAATATATTGCCAGGTAGGCTGATTTTTCCCGCCCCCAACCTTGGGTTTTTCTCGGGAGCGGGACGGAGGGGGCTGTGGGACAGAGAACTGGGCAGGGGCGAGGGGTGGGGGGTCTCTGTCTGTCTGTCTGGGCGAAATGCAAAAAGCCAGTTGCGGGAACTGAGTCTTTCCATTTCTCTCTGACATCCACACTGACTTCCCCACCACCAACTTTCCTGCTGAAACCCCACCCTTTACAAAGCTTACCCTGATTCTTAGAGTAGAAAAATCAGCCATCTTGGCTTCGAGAGGCTTGGACCTTCGCTCTGTTTAGGGATGAAGATGTAGCTCAGTGGTTAGAGCACCTGCTTTGCATGCAGAAGGTCCCAAACTCAATCTGTAGCATCTCCGGCCAAGGCTGGGAATGTCCCCTGGCTCAAACCGTAGAGAGTCACTGCCTATCAGTGTAAACAGCATGGAGCTAGATGGAAAAATGGCCTGGCTCAGTATAAGACAGCTTAGCAGCAGAGCACCTGCTTTGTGTGCAGAAGGTCCCTGGCATCTCCAATTGACCAGGAAGATCCTACTCTGCCTGCGGCCCTAGAGAGCTGCTGCCAGTTGCAGTACTGGGCTAAATGGGCAAGCTGTTTGGCCTTTTATAAGGCAGCCTGCTGCAGTCTCTGTTTCTTGAGAGAGGCCTTTTTTATCCATTCTTTTTTTCTATCTATTCATTGTGGGGCTTATCCAGAGTCTCCTGTGCGAGTTTTGTGTTGAAGGCCAAGGCTGTGGGTTCAGCATAATGAATTGTATCCCAGGTTAGTCCTGCTCTGAAATTAATGGGCATGACTAATTCAGATCCATTAACTTCAACGGGTCTACTCGGAGCAGGACTTGGTTGGATGCACAACCCAAAGGTTCCCCCTCCATTAGCACAGCACCGTGGGATGGATGTATTTGTCCTGCTTTGCTGTATTTGGCTGGCTGGCTGGATTTCTCAGTTGACATATTTTTATTATTTGGAGACGTTGCAATTAATTTGTCTAGGCAAATTAGCCGCCGTTTATTTTCATTCGCCTAGAGAGGCGGTAACGCTAGTGCAGTGGAACTGTAGAGGTTATGACCACGGCCGTTTGGCATCCTCTGCCTAAAGAGAGGGACCAGGGATGGAAGCGTCAGGGGGTGCAGCTTGCAAGGAAGGCTGGCGTTGAGGCTGTGCTAAGGCTGCCCATCAAGAATCCATCAGGAGAAGCCCTGGTGAAACCCTGATGAAATGGTGGCAAAGGCTACAAGGAAGGCTGTAGCCCTTCAGTGGGAGCAGGGAAGGGCCATAACTCACTGCTTTGCATGCATAAAGTCCCAGGCTCAGCCCCGCTGTCTAGAATCCTGGAGAGCCATTGCTGCTTGTCAGGAGAGAGAGTTCTGAGCTAGACGGGCCACTGGCTGGACTCTGGGACATAGGAAGTGGCCTCATACTCTGTTCCTATGTCAACCTTCAAACCTGGGGCTGCAAGTGGCCCTACAGTTAATTTTATGTGGGTGGCAATAAGGAAAACAGGGTGGCAGTGAGAGGAAGAGAAAAGGGTGTGGCAGAGTGAGAGAAGGGAGTGGCAAAGAGAGGAAGTGGCAGAGAGAGAGAGAGATGGGGCAAAATAAAAAAGGGGCTGGCATTGGATTCGGACCCCACCCACTTTCGACTTTAGTCGCACCCACTGCCAGAATGTGGCCCCTAAGAATTTACCCTAAGGGGGTGCAATCCTTAGCAGAAACAAAGATTGTATGTAATCTAGGAGGTGTGGAACCTGCCATGGTCCATAGGCCTCGCTGCTCTCTTCCAGGCTGGTTTTTTGTCATTGTTCTTATTCGTTTATTTAATTTATATCCCAGTCTCCCTCCCAAAGCGTCCAGGAGTGGCTTATCAGCCTAGGAAACAGGTGGGCAAGAGGCAGATCTGCATTCCTAGATTCCTGGATGAAATTCAGGAGGTTCAAACTGTTCAAACACAATAGGAAAAGGCCCCTCCTGAATTAGTCCATTAAGAGTCTCTAGTGACGAGTCTGTAGTAACTCAGGTGCACAGCTCATCATATAGTTAGCAGGGTGCTATAGCCATTTGCCTCTTCCTCCTTGAGCCACCATTTTGCATCTGGCCTCGGTTGGTGGGATCTCATTATTTTAGTAGAAAAACAAAGTCAGATGCCCTCTAAGCCTGAACTAAGGAACAAAATACCCAACCCTCTTTACTGCCTTTTTCATTTGCTGTGGGGTTTCTGGAGACAGATGATGCAGTTGGAAAAAGTCAACACTGGCTCTTAAGAGAGCCTCACTGTCCTCCCTGATCAAACAGGGTTTGCTGTTTTTTGAAAGAAGATATACAAAAGCAAATCCCACAAAAATGCCTACAAGAGGCAAAAAGCCCCAAGAGTGGACATGTCACAATGTATACTCCCGTCTTCCATTCTGACTTCAGGTTCTTCAAAATGTCTGTAGCCGTAAATGATTAACCCATCCGGATGTTGTTGGAACTCCAACTCCCATCAGCCCCTGCTAGCATGACCAGTAGCCAGGGGTGATGATGGGAATTGTAGTCTAGCAACATTAAAGGGCCAAAGGTTCCCTACCCTTGTCTTAGCAGACACTAACCAACAGGATTGGGTTGTAGCCATCTAAGTTCTACTCAGAGTAAACCCATTCAAATTAATGGAATCATGTTTCATAATTTCAATAGGTTTGCTCTGAGTGGGACGAACATTGGCTGCCACCCATTGTTTTCAGAATATAGCTGAAGCAAAGGTGGTTAGTTTCCATTCCTTTCCCTCTTTAAAGATCAGAATTGGTTCTAATCCACGTTAGTGGCTTGAGAGTCATAAAATTAGAGAGATGTTTGTTGTCCCAGATGTATGGATCTGAAGCAAAAAGCTCACACTCTTATACATAGGGGAACCCCCCCCCCCACACACCGCTTTCTCATACTAATTTTTTTACTCCCCCCTTCCTCTAAAATCCTTCTCCTCAGGGGCCTTAAATCACACAGTGGAGCCTGCATGGCTATAAGTTATAAGCTCATTAGTTATAAGCCTGTCTTTAGTCAAGATGAGGAGAGGGGAGGCCTCTCCTTTGTGGACCAAACTGGCAGGAGGTTTCTCCTTCTTTCCTTTCCTTTGTGCACGGAGGGGATGGTAAGATGGAGGTGGCATGCTTCCTTCCCAGCCACCCACCTTGGGGTTAGTGAGGTTAGTGAGGTGGTAAAGTCAGCCAAAGAAACTACTCACCCGACAGTACAGGTTCCCTTTTGCAAGTAGCACCTGCTTGGTATTTATGTACAGTGGTACCTCGGGATGCGAACGGGATTTGTTCCGGAGCCCCATTTGCACCCTGAATAGAACGTAAGACGCGTTTGCACGTGCGCGGGTCGCGTTTCACCGCTTCCGCTCATGCATGTGACGTCATTTTGACCATCTGTGCATGCACGAGCGGCGAAACCCAGAAGTAACGCACTCCGTTACTTCTGGGTCGCTGCGGAGCGCAACCCGAAAATACTTATCCTGAAGCATATTTCTCCCGAGGTATGACTGTACTTAGTTTTACAAAACTCTCTAGTGCAAAAACTCCCCTTCGTGCAGCTTACAGTGTGCCGCATTGCAATCTCGTACGGCAATTATGAAAAAGGGATGGAATCCACACTTTAAAGCATCTTTCCCTAGTGTGGTGCCCTCCAGATGTGTTGGACTACAACTCCCATCACACATGGCAAGAGCTGATGGGAGTTGTAGTCCAGAATGTCTGGAGAGCACCAAGTCAGGGAAGGGTGGTTTTGAAAGCCACAAAAACATTGGCTGCCTCCTTAGAGAAAAGCCTGCTGGAATAAAAGTAGCCATGACGGGTGAAAAGCAGTGAGGGGAAGGTAGGCCAGCCACACATTTCACGGAGCAAGGTGTTTCATAATTTGGGTGCAGCCACGGAGAAGGCCCTATCTCATATCCCACCCAGCTGTTCTTCGACACCGGGCAGTGCACAGAGCAGGGCCTCTTCTTCTGCGGGCAGGGTGGTATAGCCTTCCCACGCTGTCCACCTCCTGTTTATAAATCAATGGTTTTCTTTGGCTGCAACCCAGGGGTGGGCAACATGATGCCCTCCAAATGTTGGATTGCTGCAGCGCTCTTCATCCACAGCCAACCTGGCCAATACTCCTAGATGATGCGATTTGTAATCCAGCAGTATCTGGAGGGCATCACATTGACTACTCCACTATAATTGGAGCCACAAATTTGGGCCCCAGGGCTGAAATATGAATCTGTTAGGAATCTGCCTTTATTAACTTCTTATCACAAGTAGAGGTGGTGGCCATGAGCTTAGATGGTCTCAATAGTAATAATCAAGATGAATGGTTTGAGGTGAGATCTACCAATAGATAGCTAAACAGAAGCTGTTCATGCTCTGAGCTGGGCCGGCCCTATCGTTAGATGTTTTGAAAGGGCAGCAAATTGTTTGTTATTGAATTTATTATTGTTGCGCTTCCGCTGCTAGGAATGGGGAAATGTGCTTCTCTGCCTTAAGACTACCTTGATTGCCCTTGGATACTCTTGAACCTTGATGGCAGAGGGATGCGGGTGGGCAGGGAGATTTGCTGCCACTGCTTCCAGCTGTACAATGCCTTTGGCCAGCCTTGGCTGAGACGCAGCTTATACTTTAGCTTATATATTTGCTGAGCTCCAGAGCTATATTCATTTATTTTTAATCATTTTATCTAAGAAAAATTATATGCCACTTAGTAGAACAAAAGACCTCTAAGCATCTTCTCCTTGGGCTGCTTTTCATCGGGGGATTTGTTTGTCCCTTAAACCAGTCGGTCAAGTAGTTTACATCTAGAATCACACATTCTAGGTTATGACAGCTCACCTGTTCTTGATAGCCAGACGCTTGGCTTTAATTTACATGTGGGTGTTCTTTCTTTTGAGGGGGGCTGTTTGAAAGCCCTAAATTAAAGGAGTAGAGGTAGAAAGAGGTTGTGTCTGCGCAGCACAATTAGCTTAATGAGTTCGTTAAGAGGCACTGCCGAAAGCTGCCCAGGGACGCTCCATCGCTGTGTGATCAAAACGGATCCTCTCTCTCAGCTAGTTCAGGGGTTTTTTGGGCTCCACACTTTACTCTGTATATTTGCATTTCTTTTTTCTGTGGAAATAATAATAATAATAATAATAATAATAATAATAATAATAATAATTTTTACACTGGCAGATGGTTCTTCTGAGGGCCTTGCTTAAATATCTGTTTACATGAGCTCCCCCCACATTGCTTGTAATGGGGGTGGCTGGTTGTTCGCTGATGGGATTTCCCCCCCTTCCTCCCGTCATGCACATCATCGTTACAGAGTAATGAGTGTGTAAATGCTCGCTAAGCATGCTGACTTCTGTA